TATACACCATGCCAATTAACAGAAAGATAATAATCACATGATTTTGTGATGGAACATGGTGTTGGAACATTATTTCACTGAAACCCAATCATGAATACCTTTGCAACTGTGTATCTCACAGTGATTCAATAAAAAAGAGAAAAAATTCTTAATAAAAAAATCATGTGATTATATCAATGGATGCAAAGAAAACTTCTGACAAAATTCAACATCCTTTGATACAAACTTTTGGTAAAAATGAGACAGAAACAACATATTTCAGCATAGAAAAGATCATATAAGATACACCCACAGTTAAAAATCACACTAACTGGGCAATAACTGAAGACTTTTCCTCTAAAATCAGGCAGAATGTTGCTCATGTTCACCTCACCTTCATTTTTCAATCTAGTACTAGAAGTTCTAGTCATATCAAGAAGGCAAGAAAAAGAAATGAAAGATAACCAGGTTTGAAAAGAATATTATCACTATTTCTGATAAAACTGTAATATAAATAGAATACCTTAAGTATTTCACTAAAAACACTGAAATAATAAACTAAAATAGTAATGTGGTGGGCTAGGTAATATAAAATATGATGCATTTCTCTGCATTTCTATATGCAAACAAAATAATGGTGCATTTCTATATGCAAACAATATAGAAGAAAAATCAAGAAAACAATCCTTATAATAGCAACAAACAGAATTAAGTACCTCCTTAACAAATGAGGTAAAAGACTTTTACAATGAAAATCAAAATTTGCTGTTAGAAGAAGACAGAAAAAAAAAAGAAGAAGACAGAAAAAAGTGGAAAGATATTTCATGTTTATGAATTGATGAATGAATACAGCTTAAAATGACCATTCTACCCAAAGTGTTCTATAGGCTTAATACTCTCACTATTAAACTTCAAATAAAATTAATGAATAAAACAACATAAATATATAAAAATTTGTATAGAAATACAAAAAAGAGGAAAAGCATTCAGCTCAATCCTGAATAAGAATATAAGATGTCAAATATCATGTGTTCTGACTTTGAAGTACATGCCAATGCCAAAACTGTGGTATTGAAATAAAAAGATGCTTTTATTTCAATAGAATAATGAACTAGAGAGCCCAGAAATAAATTTTAATATATATAGGCTATTATAAAAAAAGAAGCCAAGATCATAAAAATAGATAAGGGAAAAACTTCTCAATAAATGGTATTGGGAAAAATTAGTCACATGTAAAGGAATGAAATTATGACGTCACATATGAACAAAAATTAACTCAAAACAGATTAAAAACTTTGATGTTAATCTCAAACTTAAAATTCATCAAAGAAAATGTAGGCAAAATTTTCCATGATATCAGCTTTAGTGGTATCTTCTGGGATTCCATTTCACTGGCAAGGAAAACAAAAGCAAAAATAAGTGGAATTACATCAAACAAAAAAATTTATGTGCAGCAAAGAAACTACTGTTAGAACAAAAAAAAGTCTTACTAAATAGAAAAAGCATACTCTCCATATATCTAACAGACGGCTAATATAAAGATCTATAAAAATTTTTTAAATTCAACAACAGAAAACAAAATAACCTCATCAAAAAACTGAGAAGAGCTTAACATTCACTTTACTAAAAGATATATAAAGATGGCAAAAGGCATATTAAAAAATTGTTCAGGTTGGTGGAATAAAACAACCAGATATCACCTCATACCTATAATAATGAACTATATTCAAAAAACCAGAAACAAGTGCATTTGAGGACATAGGAATAAAAATAACCATATACTGGTTGTTGAGAACATCAATTGGTCTAGTCCCAATGGAAAAAAGAATGAAGATTTATTTAAAAATCAAAAAACAGATCTACTGCATAATCCAATATTTCCATTTTCATGTTATCTATCTGATGAACGCACAATATTGTGAACATTTACAATAGCCAACATTCAGAAAATCAACTGTTCAATGACAAGTGAGTGAAAAATGACTATGTGGTATAATACCCTATTCATCTATGAAAAGATAAAACATTGCCTTTATTATAGCAGGAATGAGACTGGAAATGTCTTGCTAAGAAAAATAAAAGAGAAGAAACAAGACAAGTACAAGATAATCTTGCTTCCATGTGAAATTATTATTCCAGCATGATCAATTTAAGTGGATAGCACAAATTAAAACCAGAAAATTTGTTAGAAACTCACCATTTTCTATGTTTATCACCTTGCTTACAGCAATTCTTATTTCTTTGTGAATTCCTATATAACCACTCACTGAAATAATGCACTGAATATTAATACACAAGACAAAATCTCTGTGAGCCTTACAATTTTTATATTTTTAAATCTAAGGTAAAATATAAAGTGCCTTGGATTATCCTTGTATATATGAAGGTAAAAGAACGATAAGCATCAGAAGTTTCTATTAGCGGGACAGAGAAACTTCAGGCATTAAAGAGTTGACCTTGCATTCTGAGGTCCTGGTTTGAACCGCAAGGACCATATATGGTCTTTAAGCACCTCTAGGAATAATTCCTGACCATTTAATCAGGAATAGCCGTTGATGACAGCATGTACCATGTGGTCTAACCCATGACCCTCCCCTTCCCTTCTGTAACCCTTGCCCCACAAAAATCAAAAAATAAACAAGAAGAAGCTTTATTAGAAGTGGAAAGATCAAGGGTCAAGGAAGGAGTTCAAAAGTCAAAAGGGTAGAATACAATTCTCCTATGTACAAGCCCAAGTGATCTTCGTGTCACATGGCCTTCCAACACTTCTGGGTATGGCCCAAAAAGCCCTCGGCATCATACTAGTCCTGAGTCCTAAACTACCATGCCTGAATATCCCTAGAAGTGGCTTCTAGCTTCTGGGAATTATTGGGGAGATCCTTATGAAAATGAAAGAAGAGGGGAAGAGAGAGTGAGAGAAGAAAGAGAGAGAGGGGGGGGGGGAGAGAGAGAGAGAGAGTACAGAGAATAACACTCTCTCTCATGTTAGCCAACACTATGGTCCTCACACCACTGGTCCCTTGGTACCATCAGGAATGACACCCAAGCATAAAGCTGAGAGTAGCCCCAAGCATTTTAGTCAGTAGCCCCCAAACAAAAACATTAACAAAAAAGACAGGGACTTTCTTAAATGAAAGATGCATATATTTCAATAAATAAAATAAAGATAAAATGTGTGTGATATTAAGTTAGGAGAAGAAAATTCTAAAGAAAAGTTTTAGGAACCCAAGTATACTGAGGAAAAAATATTTGAATCAGAGACCAAAAGTATTGGTAAAATAGAAGCAACGAGATTTTAAAAAAACATAATAAATGAACATTGAACATACATTTTAAGTAGAACTGCAAAGAGAGAAATTGTAAAAGAAGGAATACCACAACACATTAAGATACAGAAATACAGAAATCTAATTCCTACAAGAAAAAAGAGATAATATGTACATGGTAGAACTCTACACAGTAAAATCCTAGACATGTAGATTTTTAAACTGGTGTGTAGATTGTCACTTTTTAGAGATTTCAATTTCATAATAGCATTTCCATCTAAAACTGCAACTTTAAATATGTTCAAATTATGTGAATGTAATTTGGGGTTATCCTTATTTTTGGCTGGAGCAATAGCACAGCAGGTAGGGCGTTTGCCTTACACACAGCCATCCCGGGTTCAATTCCTCCATCCCTCTCAGAAAGCCCAGCAAGCTACCAAGAGTATCCTGCCCGCATGGCAGAGCCTGGCAAGCTCCCAGTGGCATATTCAATATGCCAAAAACAGCAACAACAAGTCTAAAAATTTATAGGGGAAAACTTGCCTGTTATTAGATATAAAAATCATGAACAAATTGTAATAAAGACAAAGGGAATTAAATTCAGGAGCTATGAATTACAAGAAAATTAAATATAATGTATTGAGGCATGAGTAAACAAATACTAGTCTTTCAAATCAACACCAATAAACCAGCTAGAAAAAACTTTTAAAAAAGCAAAATATGAGATTTTTCTCAAGGGTGAATGAAGTTAGCTGCTCAAAATTCATTCATTCGATCAAGAAAAAGAGCTCAATCTTGAGAAAAGGTGATTTGCTTGTTTCTCACAAATATGTATGTTTCCCCAAATTCACCATTTGAAGTACAAAACCTAGGGGTTAATGTGGCCTTCAGGAAGTAATTAGGGTGAGATGAGGTTATGAAGGTAGAACCTTGATACTGGAGAGTTTTTTTCAGTTTTCTCTTGTCTCTCTTACCTCCTTATCTTCCTATCATTCTCCCTCTTTCCTTCCACCCTGTCTCTCTGTGTCCTTCAGTCTCTCTGTGTCTCCTTTTCTTCCCTTCTGCCACATTCCACCCGCTCCATGATGATAAAACAGACCAGGTGGGCATCTGGTGAAAAGATAGCGACCTACAAGCCCTAGAGAAGAATATGGGTCTGTGATACCAAGACCCCACCCCACCCACCTCTTCCCAGTTCCTAACTGTGAGAAATAAATGTTTAGCTGCTTCAACTATAAGTTTTGTCATATTTGGATATGGTAGATCAAAAAGTCCAAAACACTACTAATGAGGTCAGACACCGAGTCTTTACAAAGGTGACCGACTCCTGGACAGGCCCTATTGTACAGTGGGTAAGGTGCTTGCCTTGTACATACATGGCTGACCAGGGATTGACCCCAGCATCCCATAGAGTCCTCCAAGCACTACCAGGAGTAACCCCTGAGCAGCACCAGGTGTGTTCCCCAAAAGCAAACAAACCAACAACAAAAACAAAAGGTGATTCCTGGTGATGGTTGAGATTTATGACTGTATAGTATAACTGAGGTGATTGGATGGGGGTTGGGGGAGAGGGTAGTTTTTCAACTGAGAATATAGTCTAAAGTATCTCTACTAATGTCCGCTGAGAACCTAAGAAACTTCTCAACTCATTGCTCTCTTGCTTGAGTGACTTGTCAACAAAGTGATGACAAGCAAGCATGATAAAGACATCAGGAGCAGCATTTCATGCGTACATGAGAGGTGACTGAGCCATACCTTCTGGTTCTTATCATTCTTCTCAAAAGGGCCACCGCCACCTCCTCCACCTCCTCCTCCATCGCCTCCTCCACCTCCTCCATCACCACCTCCTCCTTCTTCTCCTCCGCCATCTCCAGCTCCACTAACAGAAGGGCCCCCAAATCCACAGGGGGAACTTCCAGACACGGCTTTGAATTGGAAAGTCCCCTCACTTGGTCTTTTTTCCATCATTTCATTTTCCTTATTTTCACTCTTTTTTCTGTTCTTTTCTACACAGGGTACCACACCGAGTTGAAGCAAACATTCAACAATGTTCAGTGCCACATCACAGATGCGAGAGCTGATGTCATGGTTAAGGACAAGATAAACAGCTTTCAGCACCACCTGAGGGGACACAAAGATAAGATAAAGCAAGAAAAAATACAAAGGGAGACTAAGTAACCAAAAATCCTGCTACCCCAATAAATTTGGTTACTCTGATGAGTCAACATCATTCATGCTTTTTTTATACTTATGCATAGATAATATTCAGATGTTCCCAGATTACATGGGGCCTTCCTTTGTGCTTAACATAAAGTAAACACTATGTGATAATTAAAATATGTATGTGTGTATTATTTTAAGTACATAGACCAAAACTCCCCATGATATAGACAAATAATGAGGATAGCAAAACAAAGCATGTTAATTGCAGAATAAGTGAGTTGGTTTACCACTGGCAGTTTCCATTTTGCCCAAATAAAAACTTGCTCAGCTAATTTTTCAAGTCAAATTTATTTTGGGGAGCCAGAGAGATAGTACATTGGGTAGGCCACTTGCTTTGCACATAGCTGAACGGGATACAATCTCCAGAACCTCAGATGAACCCCCAAGTCCACCAAGAATGACACCTAGCACAAAGCCAGGAATAAACCCTGAGCATCACACTGGTTATAGCCTCAAAACAGAAACAAAAACAAAAACAAAATCAAAATGTTTTAATCATTTTTGTTTTACTTTCCTCCAATAGTTGGTAAAGAACAATGACTTCCTTACGTATATACACAGTCATAAAATAGAGATAATGTGTGCATTCACAATTGTGTCATTACACTTCAATTTTATTTTATTTATTTATTTTTTGGCTTTTTGGGTCACACCTGGCGATACATAGGAGTTATTCCTGGCTCTGAACTCAGGAACTACCTCTGGCGGTGCTCAGGGGACCATATGGGATGCTGGGAATCGAACCCGGGTTGGCCGCATGCAAGGCAAATGCCCTACCCGCTGTGCTATTGCTCCAGCACCTACACGTCAATTTTAAATGCAAAATATTTGTGTGTTAAAACTATATCCTAATATTTATGTTAATATTTTAAATTATTTGCTGGGTCACATTATCTGTGTGAAATAGAAAATATTATAAAATATAACTGCAAAATAGCACAAACCTTTCATTTCTAATAACTATAATCAAAACAGAAACTCATAAGAATACAAATTTAAATCTTTTAATGGGCTTTGCTCATTTTCCCCAGGATAAAGGAAGTTTATAGCTGTGTTATTCAAAATATAAATACAAAGATCTTTATTCTCATTCCAGAAGAAAAAAATTAGCACACCACATGCTTGTGTGTATACACACACGCACATACACAACACACATATTGAGGGTTCACTAATAATTTGAGGATGTAAAATATTCTGAGATAAAATAAAATCTAATGTGACACTTGAAAATAACTTAGATGAATCTAAGATGATTGACAATGAGAGTTCTATAGGTTGGTTCTCTACTTAAGGTCCAACATTTCTAACAATAATCCATGTTACCATTTCATCCAACACTGTAAAAGGTCAATATTTTTAAAGTTTTGGTAAGAAAAGTTCTTGTTCCTTACAGATAGATCAAGCATTCCATTCTTGTGGACAAAGTTATTGGTTCCATCAATATGTTCTGTGTCCTCCAAGTAACTATAGTTTATGCAGGAGTCTGTGAGACTTCGAGGCAGGTTTGCACATGCCAGTGGTTCATGTGGCATCTCTGGGATAGGCACCTGGTTGCAGAGCTTCCTCATATGCTCACTGAAAAAATCTGCATAGCCTACGTTGAATGATGCCAGTGTGGTATTGAAGGTTGCAACCGTTATAGTTGAGATCTGGGATCGCACTAGTGAAAGAAAAGCAATGTCTTAGTCTTTGCCATATTAACCTGTGATACCATGCTATACAGTTACTGCACTATTTTAATCATGGTTCTAGTCACTCTGTAGCTTTTAAAGTTATTTTATATATAGTCTCAAAGCTATTTTTACTTACACAAGACTGTTGCAGGTGTTAATATCATGAAATATGTTGCAATGAAGATTCTAGAAAGGTGAGTTTGAACTGCCTTCTGTCAAACCCTAGCTAGAATTTAACTTTAATATAATAGGGGGATTTTACCCACTGTTAGATGACAGATTCCAGTGATATAAATAAACTTACTAAATAAATTTACCTACAGCTGCTATTACAGTATTTTCATTGACTTGGGAGATATTTCAAGGGACTACATGTAGGTTCTGGATCCGACACATGGAAATCTACACATGCACAACCACTACCCTCCACACACCTGGTGTAGCATTAGTAGACCCCAGCACCATTCTAAACAGTACAGCACTCTAGGGCTGATATTTGAGTAAACCATTAAGGCCAGTTGGAAGACTATCTCCAGGAATGATCAATAGCACCTGAAGCACTGTTAAGGAGGTTTTCTTACAAATTTATTTTAATCTACTAGCACTGTAGCACTGTCCTCCCGTTGTTCATCAATTTTGCTCAAGCAGGCACCAGTAACATCTCACAACAAATTGTGAGACTTGTTGTTACTGTTCTTGGCATATTGAATACATCACGGGGAGCTTGCCAGACTTTGCTTTGTGGGCAAGATACTCTCAGTAGCTTGTCGGGCTCTCCAAGAGGGGCAGAAGATTCAAACTTGGATTGGCCGCATGCAAGGCAAACATCTTACATGCTGTGATATTGCTCCAGCCCTTTATCTACTAATTAGAATAAAATAAAATAAAATAAAATCTCAGAGGATCCAGGCAACTAGTTTAAAGGAAATTTGCTTTTCATGTGACCCAAGCTATGTGCTGGAAATAGCCCCAGAATGGAGAGTAGAAACTCCATCCCTAGTCCACTGGACATGTTTTTAAATCAGCACCTACCTCCCTGCCCAACCTGAAAAAAAAAAGCCTGGCAAAATTAAAAAAGAAAAAAACTAATATTTTTGTCTCTTCTGCTAAATAGTAATGGAACATTGGAACATACGTTTGTGGTGATAACCGATACCAGCAAATCCATGAAGTACAGTCCAGAGAAAAGAGGGATTAAATATATGCTTGCCAGTTAAAAGTGCAGAATCAGAAGCTGTCTTGGAGTCTACCCAGAGGTGAGTTTGCTCCAGATGAAACACAAAGGCGTGTGTCTGAAAAGGGAGTTATCTCACAAAAGGATGTATGGCCTTGGAGAGCAGCGGCCTTGCTCCTGAGGAAGGTGGGAAGGTGGAACAGCCACGTGTATAACTGAACTAAGCACTGATCTAGAAACCTTTCATGGCTTTTCTGGCACTGTGGCTCTACAGCCTTTTGAGAACAAGCGTGGATGACCTCCTCCTGCTTTCCAGAAGCACAGTGTTCATTGTGGACTGTTAAACAGCTCTTGCAACTAGGAAATTCTAACAATGGCTGGCAATTGTGTTAGCGACTCCAACAAGAACACAAGTTTCCTAAAGGCAGAAGATGCCAGATTACAATGAAAAGGGAGCATGGAGTGGAAACAGGAAACAGGAAAATGAACTTGCAGTCCCGCCTATAGGCACAGCCTCTGACCCACCTTCCTTGACGGTGTTTTCTCCATGGCTATTGGAATGGTCAGGCAGGTCGCTCATCAGGGTGTGGTGTGAGTGTGAGTGCCTGGCACTGAGACTCTCCATTTCAGTGGCTGCATCCGAACTGCCTCGCCGGGTAAATTTCCCTGAGAGGGACAAAAGCATGCAGAGGGCTTTACAATCTAAAAGATTGAGTCGAGTTTCTGTCTTTCTAAAGGGCAGCAGTGAGGATGAAGGGACATTAGGACGAGCAGGCAGCACAGAAAAATAGGAACTGCATTTGCCTTGGGAATATTTGGGGTCAAGATGATTGATGAAGCTCCCCCTGGTAAGGTCAGCCCCAATCTAAGCCAAATGCCAGAAACCATCTGTCAGGTCCCAGCTAGCTGTCAACTCTTGATTTTAAACTGCCCTTCTCGACATGATATCCAGAAAGGGAAAAAAAATTATTTCTTTTATTTATGTCTTCCTTTAAAAATATGAGAGTTAAATCAAATATGTCCTTAAATTCACAATAAGAGTCAAAACACAGATCCTTTTATGTCCACAAATCCATATCTAGAAATCTCTAAGAAATAAGACCATGACCCTCTTGGATAATTAAGTTTATTTGGAGGGGGGCATATCTTTGGTTCTGAAGACACTGAATACTTTTGGGACTGAGGAGCCTGTCCTAGGGACCAAATACATTGAGCAAATTAGTCAAGAAAGACCAAGATGTAACCAAGAGCTCTAAGATTAAGCTCTTTAAACTGGCTACTCCAGGTCTCTGTGATTACCTAAGATGGTGGTTTGCCAGCCTCCTTTTTCAATGCTTCTCCTGTCTTCTCCAAGTCCAGAGAAACTCCCAAAGGAGAATGTGCTGCGGGTAGGGGATACATCCAGGTGGTCTTCATGGAGCAGGAAGGGCACACCCATTCTCCGAGGCCGCCTCTTTCCTGTGTGGTGGAATGGGATGGAACCTTTCCTCTCTCGGTCTTCTTTACGGCTCTTAAACTACAGGAAGCAGATATAAGAGTTAGGCACTAGGCAAAGGAAAGCATATATAGTTTGTGTCCTGATTGGCTCCATGACCTGAAGTAAAATATAAGAAATGTTTTAGGAAGAGGGACCCCAGAAAGCCACTAAATATAATCAAACACAAACAAGAAAAAATTCTGCTCAGTGTTAACAAAAAATTAAAGAAACTAAGCAAATGTAATGTATGTAATATCTGTAATGTATTCCATGCATCTTTCTGTTGGGTTGGGTGACAGTAGTCATTTGCATTGTGTAGTCTATGAAACATGAGCATCAGTATCAGCTGGTAAAATGTTAAAAATGCAAAATCTCAGATTCAAACACTGACATAGTAGATCAGAAAGTCAAAGGATGAGTTCCAGGAGTTCTGTAGGTGATTCTGATGCATGCTAAACCTTAAGAAACATTGAGTTAGAGTATGGAACTCCTAATGTGTGCTTGGAACCGCCAGTCTGTTATCTGTTCAAAGACAAAGATTAATAATTGCAGCCACACAATATGGATCACTGTTCATGAGGAGAATCTAAAATGAAAAAAGCATGCATTGGTAGAAACTCATTATTCAAACAAGTTGAAATTTTGCATCATTAAGAGTTTGGAACTGCTTGAATATTTTAAAAGAGTGTTAATAATAGTGGTCTAACCTTTAGCAATTCTGATTTAATTGGTCTGGGATTAAAAACTGGGCACTTGGTAAAACAAATTAACTAAGAATCAGCAAAGGATGTGAAACACCTATACAGTGAAAACTATAAATCACTGCTAAAAAAAAATAGAAGAGAATACCGGGAAATGAGAAGGTATTCCCTGGTCATGGATTTTAAAACAGGCTTTCCTACTTAAGGTATTATACAGATTCAAAGCCATTCCCATTAAAATTTCACTGACATTCTTCAAAGACATGTAATAAACTTTACCAAAATTTGTATGAAACCATAACTCCTTGAATAGTCAAAGCAATGCTAAGAAAAAAAGATGGGAGATAGTTTCCCAAATTTGAGCTATACTACAAATTTATATTATTTAAAAACAATATTAATGAAATAAAGACTCTCAACTAAAACTTTTTATTACATTCAGAATAAAAATTTCCATACTAACTTTTTTCAAGCACAGAAAAAACCTAAGTTCTGAAAAACAACAAAATTCAGCACCTTTTCTAGAGCGTGATTGCCCAAAGGTACATGAAAAGCTTATTGAAATAGTTACCCTGTTATCATCACTGAATTTTCTGTATCTGTAATGATTTTTTTCACTGCATATTGAAAATCCGCACGGCCGCGAATGCATCTTATTATGACATCTTATTATGACATCTTATTATTTCATTCCTACTTTGGACAAACTGGCAGGCTACCGAATGTAGCCTGCCCACACGGCAGAGTCTGGCAAACTCCCCGTGGCGTACCCAATATGCCAAATACCAGTAACAATGATGGGTCTCATTCTCCTAAAGAGCCTTGAATATAATCTCAGGGCTAGGATGAAGGAGACGTTACTGGGACCTGCTCGAGGCAATCGATGAATAACAGGATGGTCGTGATTCGTGATTCGTCGTGATTGAAAATTAAGTCTATATTCATTGAGAAGTGATATATTTTGGGGGAGAAAAAACACTGACTAGTAGCCAATGTACCAAATAGTTTATATAAATACATACACACAAAAAGAGAGACATTTAAATTCTATTTTATGATTCAGGCTATAGATAGTAGAACTGTGTTTTTACTAATCAAAATCTGAATCAATATACAAGGAGACTTTCAGCCTATTTCATTCTTCATCAACCGTGGGATAACTTCTTATGTGTAAGACACTACAAAGTGTATCAAATATGACAGATTTCACATGATTTAGTGAAATCAAATCAAAACAACACTGAGACATCATCTCACACAGTGAACATGGCATTATCAAAAAGTCCAGAAACAGCCAGTGTTAGCATGGTTGCAGTGAGAAAGAAACCTTCATACACTGTTGATATGAATGTTGTCTGTTTCAACCTTTCTGGAAAGCAATACGGAGATTTCTCAAAAAAGTAAGAAGAGAACTCCCATATGATCCAATAATACCACCTCTTTGCATCTATCCCCAAACACAAAAGCATTAATTCAAAAGATATATATGCAAACCTAAGTTCACTGCAATACAATAGCCAAGATATGGAAACAACCTGAATGTCCAACGACAGATGCATAAATAAATAATTTGTAATGTATATACAGAATAGAGTACTTTACTAAAAAGGAAACTCAAAGAAAGTCATGAATTTTGCCATGGCATGGATAGAAATAGAGTATATCATGCTGAGTAAAATCAAACAGAAGGAAATGGATTGATACAGAATAATCTCTATTTAGAACTTGAAGATACAGACTAAAATATCATCTAAGATCCAGCAGCAGCAGAACTGGAAATCTGGAGAGCTGGTTGAGCGAACTAACTCGCTCTCTCTCTCTCTCTCTCTCTCTCTCTCTCTCTCTTTCTCTCTCTCTTTCTCTCTCTCTCCTGCTGTGTGTGTGTGTGTGTGTGTGTGTGTGTGTGTGTGTGTGTGTGTTTGAATGTGTTTGAACGTAGTTTGGGGATGGGGTTGAAAGGGAGAGGCTAGTGGAAATCTAGTAGAGGAAACAGGTACTCTGCTGATGGTTGTGGTGTTGGAATGATGCATGCATGAAACCTACATTAACCGTATTATAAATCATAATAAATCAATAAAGATAAAATGTTTTTAAAACTTTTATTAAAAATAGAAAGAAAGGAGCTGGAGCAATAGCACAGTAGTTAGGGCATTTACCTTGCACGTGGCCAACCCGGGTTCAATTCCCAGCATCCCATAAGGTCCCCTGAGCACCGCCAGGAGTAATTCCTAAGTACAGAGCCAGACGTAACCCCTGTGCATTGCCAGGTGTGACCCAAAAAGCAAAAAGAAAAAAGTGACTCTTTAAAAAAAATAGAAAGTTGGGTGCTGGAGCGATAGCACAGCAGGTAGGGCGTTTGCCTTGCACTCAGCCAACATGGCCAACACAAGTTCGATTCCCAGCATCCCATATGGTCCCCCGAGCACCGCCAGGAGCAATTCCTGAGTGCATGAGCCAGGAGTAACCCCTGAGCATCGCCGGGTGTGACCCAAAAAGCAAAAAAAAAAAAAAAGAAAAAAAAAGAAAAACAAAAACTGGGCACTTGAGTTTTTAAAAGCTCCTCCCAAAAGTCTCAAGTGTAAGCAGTGCAGAAAACCTCTTCTCAAAACCATATTTAAAAATACAGCCATCAGCAATAATTTTATTGTTAATGAACATAGACAAAACTAAATTCTTTTAGCAACACTATGAGTCAATAATATGATATTATTAAACATAATCGTTTTGAAAAACAGAATAGGAGAGCCTCCATATACACATTATATATATTATTTTATGCTTTTATTAGTTCTATGAACTTGATTAAAGAGAGAATAGTGAATTATTAGGATATAACATTTTTAGGTAGAAGATGTAGTTTCGAGTTTGGGGCTCAATATTTCTAAACACTTTAAATTTCTAAAGTTAAATTCCTTCCTTTCCCTTCTTTCCACTTCCCTTCATTTCCTTGCCCCTTTCCTTTCCTTCCCTTCCTTCCTTTCTTACATTCTTTTCCTCCTCTCTCTTTTATCTTAATTTTTATGATAATAATTCATATTTATTATGAGACACATTAAAATTTGCATACATTATCTCCTTAATATACTTTACATATATAATTTTGCACAGTTTTACATACATAGTTTTCATAATCTTTGGAGGTAACTTTATGACTACCCTTTATAGATGAAGAAACTGATAAACAGTATCACAGAACTACAATTTGAACCCATATCAACTGACTCTCAGGTTATGCTCTTAATTCTTCACACTAATCTGCCATCATTTTGGTTCTAGCTGCTTTTAGATACTCAGAATATGTTTGTGAACAGCAACTTAATTTGACTTACTGAGAAAAGTTGTGATGTTATTAAATCTAGTGATTTTATACTATTATTGGCTATAAGTTTTTATTAACAGAACTTGGCTTGTTTGATGTCTTTCAAACATAAGTAATGCACTTAGCACTCCCGTTGTTCATCAATTTTGCTCAAGCAGGCACTAGTAACGTATCCATTGTGATACTTGTTGTTACTGTTTTTGGCATATCAAATACGCCATTTGGGGAGCTTGCCAGGCTCTGCTGTGCAGGAGGGATACTCTCAGTAGTTTGCCAGGCTCTCTGAGAGGGACAGAGGAATCGAACCTGGGTCGCTGCATGCAAGGCAAATGCCCTACCCGCTGTGTTATCACTTCATAGGTAATATCAAGAATAAACATGCATTCCATGATGATTCCAACACTCTGAAGTATGACCCAGTTTCTTACATGTGAATGAAGACAATTAAGATCTCACTATATTAATAAGAACAATATATAAAAAGTGATAAAGTAACATAAACTATACAATTGTCAGTTACTAGTTCTGCTACCATAACTACCTCCATTACCACCCATTATGAAGATAAAAATCACATAGAACTGAGAGATTTTACAGCATCAACCTACAAGTCAGTCTGAGGCCTAATTTCTGTTCTCAGACATCCCTTCCTCACCCTACCCCACCCCATAGTGCAGCATGATCTTAAGCATATGGTTTTTTTAATGTCCAAACTCTCTAATGATAAGTAGCTCTACCCACCTTCTTAAAAATGTTCATGCCAAGATCTGAAGAAAGATCTGGAACTGCAGACCTACGTAGGTTTGTTAGTGAAACTTTAGAAAAGGCTTCGGGGCTGAGAGATTTCTCCTCTTCGTTACACTTCATGGTGAGATCCTTAACAGACAAAGTTAGATATAATGATTAAAGATGTAAAGTTTCATATACAAACACTTTTAACATTTTGATTATTATATTTAGTATGGAAATGCATAATGCTTTAATATCTATGAAGCAGCTAACTTGTGTAGAAGACATTCAGAACCTAAATTTTGAGATGAAAGTATATATTTGATATTAATTTTAATTTATTTGGGATTTTTCACAATAATAGTCTAATAGTCTGAAACATTAAAGAAAGCAAAGAAAATAGAAAGTAGAATTTAAAAAGTGTTTCCCACTTAATGATTTGTGAAAGCAGTATCTACTTTGTGCAGAATCATATATTATTAAAGAAGAGTAAAGTTTTTTTCCACGCAAACATTGCTGACTATCTTCAGAATAGTCACTTTTACACATGTCCAATTCTCACTTTAAGTAAACTTACTTAACTGAATCACATTACATATTTCATCTTTCTGCATATATTCAGCACATGGTGTTGATAAGGAAGACTGGAAGAACACATGTTCAATTTGATTTGAGGGAATTGTTTATTAAAAAGTTATTTTTTTAATGCAATGCCATCATGCAAATACACATTCAGTAGTTTCTTCCAAACATATGTAATAAAGAGTAAGGCTGTTTACAGAGAGCAATATCCCTAATGACAACATGGAGGCACTGGTAAATTAGAAGCTACACAAAAGAGAATATGACATATTCAGAAAGACATTAGTATTATGCTTCTGTAAAATTACTAATTAACAGATTCCCTATGATCTAATAATTTGATTATTTAGAAGGTCCAATTTTCCATAATTTAGAAAACCAAAGGCTTACAAGAGGCATTTAGGTAGCACTGTCTTGAATGATAAATTAATGCTAAAGAACAGCACAAGGGTACAGCAGCACAAGGAAAATAACACTAGAGTAAACTACCAACCAAATAGGGTGGCCTTGAATACATAAGGGCTGGATTCACAGAAGAAAAGGAGAATCTGGCATGCCAGTGTTGTTGGTTCCAATAACAATGAACTAAGTTTCTCTTACTTGTGTTTTGTGAGTGTTCACTAGTGAGGGAGCTGCTGCCACCATGGAGCTACTCCGAGGTCTGGGCAGGAGAGGAACATCTGGATCAGGGGTTTTTTCTGGCTTCTCTTCCAACATGTGACGTAACCTTTGTAGGTAGTACATCAGAGACCACTGAGTTCCCTCCTCGGACCAATGGGGCTGGAGTAGGCAGCGGAGCACAGCAACGTCAAAGTAAGTGGCATAGCGAGACCTTTGGCATGGAGGTATCACAAGGGAGCTCCTGTTCCAAGTGAGATAAGGAAAGTAGTAATAATTCGATATCAATTATTCAGTAATTCAAGATTCAATTCAATAATTCAATATCCCAAGCTGATACAATATGACACTCCTGCTTTTTCATTTGCTCATAAATTTCCTCAGATATCTTGTCTGGTTTTCTCAAATATCCTCTTCACTGGTCTCACACTCTACTTTTGCTAGATACTCCCTGGGCAGAGACATTGAAGAGCTTTGCAGGATAGTAGGAATTATCCAGGTAAAGTTGAGAATGAGGCAAGAGAGTGGGTCAGTATTTCAGTAAAAGGCAATAATACCTACAAAATTGTAGAGTTTTTAAAAAATCATTAGGCTTGGATCAGTGGAGGAGGATTATATGTAATTGGAATTACTGGTGAACAATGTGAATGTTAGACAATGATGAAAGTTAACAGAGATAGGTAAATTTCAGATTCGGATGTCCTTTCAATACTCAGATTTCAGTTCTTATACTCCATATAATGGAAGTGCTATTTGTGTACTTTGTTGTCTTATGTTAATTTCAATTGCAGAGATGTTTTGTAAAAGATTCAAGAAAACTCGAAATGCTTAAGAGCTTTACTATGGATAAACTAAAAATCATTTTTAAAATATGGAAGTTATTTAAGTTTAAAAACTTTTTAAAAAAATCTCAATGTTCTAAAATTCTGTTATTCTATCTAAATACTAGACATATTAACCACAAAATTACTTAGCTTAACACATTGTTTTAGCTCTCTCAGCGATGTGAAATTAAATGTAACTTCTTTGCTTTAAGGAACATAAAGTCTAGTGAAAATGAGAGACAATAAACAACAAATTATATATCAATAACTTCTGGGATCTAAGCTGAAATCTTAGACCCAAATTTTAGTCCCAAAGCACAATTTCTTCCTGAGTTAAGTGATACGAAACTGGAAATTTTAATATCCTGTTATCAACTTGCATATGGCACTACCCACACATGAAGCAAAATGTGTGATTTCAGCAAAAATGCAGCCGCTGACTTAGAAGAGGTTTTACTAACTTACAAAATCATAGATTCTAAATTGAAGGTTATGACTCATTGTTGGTTCAAGATATCAATTCAAGTGGTTATGACTATGATTAAAATATTAATGTGCTAATGTTCATACTAGGACTTGTATTATTGGTGAAGCTTGTTTCATGGCATAACTTTGTCAAATCTGATGCATAAAAAACATTGTTTGCTGCGGGCTATAATAAAAAGTGCAAATATACAAACCCTGACCAGATAAATTTTCATGATCTTTTTTGCTCCCTGTCAAAGTCAATGTCTTATTTTCCCATTTTTTATTCTCATTTATAGCATTGTCTGGGTGTGTTGAGGAAGAGCTGTCCACATAAGTGGTGGCTTCATTGATATACAGTAAACTAAGCAAGTTAAAATTTAACCACATAATGTATTAGAATACTAGTTATGAGTTGGCAGTCTATCAGCCCAGTTTTCATCCATGTTATGCTAGACGTTATTCCTTTCCTAGGGAACTAAATACTCTTTCAATTATCAAATTCATTGGGAAGACCCATAGACTCTTCAACTTTTGACCATTTTTCATCATTCCAAAGATGTCCACCTCCATTATTGGAGTTTCTATTCAATTCATTGCTTCTCAGTCCTCCATACCTCTGCCCACATCCCTCTTATAGATCTTTTAATCACCCTAGAATAAAAGGCAAGCTCCTTGCAGTGGCCAACAGAGTATCCCATTCTAACTTCAATACCAACTCGCCCTATCATGCCCATTATTTATTGAGTGCCTCTTAGCTCCAAACTCATAGGTTTTTGCTTGCTCTTTAAAACTGGACCTGTGCTCTTTTATATCTTTTACTGTTGGCAGCTTGTATGATGTTCTTTTAGAGACATAGGGCTGGTATTGCAGGAGGAGAGAATTGGGCCTTGGGTGCTGCTGCACTTGCAAGGCACATTCTGACAATGTACAGTTTCTTCAGTACCAGGGCCCTGTTGTTCTGTGATCTGTGCATCGTGCAGAGCCTCCCCAGGGTGTAGCTGCTGCAGCAAAGAAGGGTGTTTGCTCTCACACCAGGGTCCTACAGCACTCCCAGCTTTCCCTGTGCCCAGCTCCTATGATTAAAAGTAGTTGATGGCACCCAACAGCCAACCATTCCCCATTTCAAAAAGTATTGTAGTAGATGATCTCCCCTAAGAAATTTCTCCATGAATAGTTTTCCTTAGCACCCCTGAGGGTTGATTTGACAAGTTTCAAAAGCTGATTTTCAGTAAGTTACTTGCTGCAGCCACACAGCATCTCCTCTATCACTTAATGAGGCATGAATTTTCTCTTTCCAGCACTGTCAGAATCTGAATCCTGGGGAGAATGGGGCATTTGGGTATACTGTGTGAAGCCTAACATTAGCGAATGCTCTATTATATCTACTATTCCTTTTCCTTTAGAGTCTTTTTACTTCCTACTAGCCACTCTCTCATTATTCTAATACTCCAATCTCATTATACTCGATAATTCCCTTTATTAAACCTGCTCTTCTCAAATTACAGTGTGATTTCTCTTTCCTGATTGAACCCATCTAATACCTCTCAAAGCTGCACCTCAGCTATATTGACTTTGATACCCTTGAAAACACCAAGTTTTGCCATCTTGAGAGATTTTTCCTATGTGGAAATTTCTATTCTTATGGTGTAGGCTTTATCTGAGTTCTATTCTAATGTTATCCTCAGAGAGGTCTTCCCTAGGCACTATGTAAAATATCACTCCTCTCCTACTGTCAAAACTTAAATTTACTCTAATTTTGTCATAGCATATGGCATAATTTAAATTGTGCTCTATTTAATAAGTTTACTTGCATATTCAATATGCCAAAAACAGTAACAACAAGTCTCACAATTTGTTGTAAGGTGTTACTGGTGCCCACTCGAGCAAATTGATAGACAAAGGGAGGACAATGCTAAAGGGCTACAGTGCTACTTGCATATTGGCTATCTTCATGTACTTGGATAAACTAGTTTCGTATAAAATTAGCACTTAAAAAAAAGACTTTTGGGGGCTGGAGTGATAGCATAGCAGGTAGGGTGTTTGCCTTGCACGCGGCCGACCCAGGTTCTATTCCCAGAATCCCATATGGTCCCCTGAGCACCGCCAGGGGTAATTCCTGAGTGCAGAGCCAGGAGTAACCCCTGTGCATCGCCAGGTGTGACCCAAAAAAAAGCAAAAAAAATAAAGACTTTCGTATACAAAAGCAAAATTGTTTTGAAAAATTAAAGAAAAAAAACACCAAAGGGAATGCAACACAGGAAGAAGGGAGGATACAATAAAAATGAAGCATAAATTAATTAAACGTAAACTAAAAAAAATTCAGAAGATCAACAAAACCATGAGCCATGTTTTAAGATGAACAGAAAAAGAGAAAACATGAATTAACTGAATCAGAAATTACCACATCAGAAAATAAAGGATCCTAAGGGATTATTATAAATTATCTTTATGCCATGAAGAGCCTCGAAGAAATATATACATTTCTGGATCCTATAAATGTCCAAAGTTAAATAAAACAAAATAGAACATATGAACAGAACAAATTCATATAAAATAAATTGAAATAGTAACCAAAATTCTCTAACAAACCAAAAGTCCAGGTTCATAAAGGTTTACTAGCAAGTCCTTCCACCCTTATAAAGAAGACCCATTTCCAATCCTTTTCAGACTCTTCAGAAAATTGAAGTGGGAATTCTCAGTTTCTATGAGGCAATTATTAGGCTGATACCAAAAGAAAACATAAATACCAATAAAAAAGAAAATGAAATACCTGAAGAATATAGATGCAGATAACCTCAAAAATATTACCAAATCAAATTAATCAATAATACGGCAAAAATATTATTCGCCATAGTCAAGTAGGATTTACTCCAGGGATACAAGTCTAAATAATATATACAAGCCAATCCATGTAAAAACACCATTTCAATATAAAGAAATAAAATCATCTGATCACATAGATGCAGAGAAAGCATTTGATAAGACCCAATTCAGATTCATAATAATATATCTTTATAAAATGGGAACAATATTTCCTCAATATAGTTAAAGCTATTGACCGTAGCCCACAGCAAATATCATAGTCAATGGCTAAAAACTGAAATATTTCCCCTAGAATCAGTTATATGAGAATAAAGTCTACCCTTACCACTATTAATAAACTTAATATTGGAATTACTTGCCATGTCAATTAGACAATATAGAGCAGTTAAGGGCATCCAGATTGGAAAACAAATTAAACTATCACTACTTGCAGAAACCCCAAAGACTCTAACCCCCTAAAGCCTCTAGAAACAATAAACTTATACATACTAAAGAGATAGGCTACAAAATCAATATGCAGAAATCCAGCATTTCTATAGGCAAGCAATGAGATAAAACAGAAATTATTAAATAAATCCATTCAAAATTGTTCCTCAAAAAATCAAGTACCTGGGAATAACCTTAACAAGGGAGGTATTAAAACATATAAAAATAACTATAAATCACTAATGAGAAATAAAAGAAGACATAAGGAAATGGAAACACATCCTCTGTTCATAGATAAGAAGTATCAATATTATCAAATATTGTCAAATTTGATTTGACAATCAAAAAAAGTCAAAATTATCAAAGATTCAACGCAGTCCCTATTAAAATTCCTATGACTTTCATTGTCCATTTTGTATTGGGGCCACCCTCAGAAGTGTTTAGGGTTTACTGCTGGCTCCACACTCAGGAATCACTACTGGTGGGGCTCAGGGAAACTTATGGGATGCTGGGGTTCTAATGGAGGTGAATCACATGCAAGGAAAATCTACTACTCACTGTAATATCACACTGACCCCCAACATGTTTATAAGACATAGACCAAATGTTGATGAAATTCATATGGAGTATTTTCCCTCCCCCTCCCCAAATAGACAAAGCAATTCTCGGAGAAAATATTGGAACCATCACATTCCCTCACTTT